AATGTAATGTATGTGAGATGGGAAAACCCATATCACCAAATCCCCTATGCCACTAAAGAGAAGGTTTGATATGAACCTCAAAGTTATCATAATTCTGCTAAAAATCTTTTAACTATTCATGAAAAACCAATGACAAAAGCTAAAGCTAAAAGGATAAAAAAAAGTCTTGACTTATTTATTGGAAAGTCAAGTCTCAGTCAAGATTTTATGAACGCAAGAAGAGTCTAAAATGATCAATATGATTCAAATAAGTTTAAATCATGAAGAGAAAGTTCAACTTTGAGAGAATGATAAATTTTTAGCGGAATAAAGGTTATTCAACTATATTGGATAATATTAAGAATTATAGATTTATTCATGAATAATTATTCAAATCGATTAAAGATATATTCATGATCTACATTTATGAATTAGGATACGAATATCATTTAATATATTTAATGGATTCATTCTCTTTGTATTATATAAACAAGACTAACTCTCTTTGTAAGAAAATAATTCAGAAGTATAATAATCTTTTGACACTGGTGAGTGTTTTATTTTTTAAGTTCTTGCATGAACTTTGGAACTTATCAAGCTTTTCTGCTTGTGACATTCAAACCCCAAAAATCTTTGATTTTTCGTTCAATTTATTAAACTTCTTAGTTTTTAATGTTTTAAGGGAATCAAAGTGCTCTTCTAATTATTTCATCAGTTTTATATTGATAAAGTGATTAGAATAGTTTCCCTTACTTCAATCTTAAACGATCTATCTTATTTCAATTCGTTGGAAAATGTCAATTTTCATTCTATATGTGTCATAACTCTTTAGCTATCAAGATTTATGATTGTTAAGTTGATGATTTCCATTGAGGAGGTTCGTATTCCCTCACCCTTACAGTGTTGAATGATTAAGAGAGTCACCATGCTCCACTTCAAGCTTTCAAGACTGCTTCTCCCTGTGTTCTGATTCCCTCGGGAATAAAGCTTGACCACACACGGACATATTTGTTGACTTGTTGAGCTCCTCTTTACCTATAGAGATCAGGAGATTCATCGGTAAACCAAGTTCAAATGTCCACATTTGTGTTCCTTTTTTCCCCCTCCCTCCCCAGCCATGAGAGTTTACACTTCCAAGTCAACTTTGATCCAAACTTTACAGCAAGGTTTACTTGCGTAAGATTGCTAGCTGTTCAAACAAAATGCTTATCAAGCGCAATTGTTTAAACCAAAAGGAGGTGCCAATGTTTCTCAACTTTTGATTGGTCATATACTAGGAGAAAATGTCAGGTTCATCATTCGTTTGTTTGTTTGTTTGTATGTGTAAGGCAGGTACAGGGGAAGATAGCAGAATACCTCTCTTTCACAACATTTTGGAGCATCTGACATGCTTTAATCCAGGTGACAAAAATGAGAATTAGGCACCATTCTTGTGGATCAGTGTTGAGGAGGCATCTCCAGTCACAACAACTCACCAGTTTGGGCAACAAAATCATGCTGAAGAGATGTTTGTTTCCATCTGGTGAATCTCTGGTTGTAAAAGTCAACCTGTAAATAGAGAACAGGCTGACCTTTTTCCACAACTTGTAAGCCATTTGAGTACTAGTAGCTGCCATAATATCAGCACAACGGAAATCCAGATACCAATGTCAATGATATTGAATCATGATCTTTTGTGGCCTCATTGTTCACATATCAGCAGTAGTCAGAAGATATCCCTGTTAATCTTCATGTTCCTCTTCACTCTCTGAATCTAAAGAAATAATTTATCAAGAAACATCAAAACAACAGAAGGCATGGAATTACATAAAATATGGAATGCAGAAAAATGAAGATGGGAGCTATTGAAGGTTGCAGACAATCCATAAACAGAACCCTACAAATGTATCATTGACCACTAAATATTTATATATATTTTATTTTTACGTAGAAAAATGTTATATGAGACAGCACTTACCCGATCGAATATCGTCTCCAACACTACCTCTAGCCATGATTTCTTTTACAAGAGTCTGGTAGATCAAAACCCACCAATAGATGTGAAGAACAAGTAGCGAGAATAGAAGAGTGTTGTCCTTCAAACTTGTGCTTCTCGTTGTCCTGAGTTAAGATGGCTTCATAACTGCAAGACAAGGTAAAAGAACCATTAAACTGAATCTCAAAAAGCCCAAGTAAAAAACATTCTTTGGAAATAGAATTGAGATGCATTAAACTTAGTCTTGGATCAAGATTTATTTTCTTTTTTCATTATGCTTGGAGAATTCCTCGTTCTGTTAAGTAACTTATGCTTAGCTGTACTTTGTACACAGATTTGTAGCATAAAATGGCAAACTATTCTTACCATCAACCAATGTCAATCACATTGAATTGTCAAAGTCAAAATAAATCAAAGTTGCAAAACTCCCCTTTCTAAAAAATATTAGACCTATTTAGGAGTTGGAAGAATAGCATTTGAAAGCCAATTAGTTGCAAGTTGTACGTTGGAAGAACAATAGGATTGGTTTATGCCTTTGTGCTGCTCAAAACAGACCAAAAATAGCTCAATCATAGTACAAAATAGCCAACAACTGCATGCCATGACTCACGCTCAGGCGCAAAAATCCTTATGACCATCCAAAACTTCAATCCTTCTGCAAAACAGTCGATCTGCCTGAACAAACCGAGCTACTCCTAATTCTCCTTTATAAATCTATGGATGGGGCACTCAATCCTTCCTAATTTGCTCTTCTACTTAAAATGATGTTCGGCATAAAAAGATGTTGCATGAATTAAATTAATTCAAATACCAAAATAATCTCAGTTCCCCATAAGAGGTTTGACTCGTCATGCCGAGCAAATACAATGAATACAAAATAGATTAATATGGAAGCCAACTTGTGTAATCTACCCTGTAATGGAAATTCACATTGAACCAGTATACCTAAATAGCATCATCAATAAAAGTATATCAATCAGTATTAGCATGAGATACTTACCTTGTACTTCGGAGGATCCAGAATGGATAGTACGCAAGCCAAGGTAAAATCCATGATGCAACAAACAGAAGAAATGATGTGTTAGCAAGCCACTCAGAGACATTATACTTAGCCATCTTTCCCACTTCCAAAAACACATCACTTGCATCATGTATGGCGAAAACAACTGAACCAACATGAGCAAAACTGTACAAATAGAAAGATATAAGACAAAGGAAATAAACTTTGACACCTAAGCTGTCAAATGGACTTTAAAAGTACCATTTTATGAACATCTTCATCATCCAGGTTTTTGTGTATCAAGTTGTCTATGGAGCATGACTAAATCCATACAATGTTATTGAGAATCCAATTTGGGGCACAAGAGCATATGAACTGGTATAATAAGTTGGTAATAGCCTACTGGTGGGACCATAGGAGGAACCAATTTCATTTGATTCATGACCATGGTTCAATTAAACTGAATAACTATGTTCCACGTGTAACACCGCCGAAACTGGTCTCAAACCCGGATGGAAAAGGTGGAAGGTTACATTAGGTCACTAACAACCAACGTAAAATTATATCAGATCTCATGAACATGGATCTTAATCGATTTCAGTATAGAGCCCCCAAATAGTTGGGACTTACGGCTTTGTTGTTGTTCTGGTTATTGTAACTATGTTCCACCTGTAGAAGTGGAGCCACATAAACCTGATGGATGAGCACTTACATGTACAAAAGCTCCCAACTTAGACACATCTTAAAATACAGCGAATGCTTGATATAGTGGCACATTATGTTATTATTGTGTGCTCTTCTTCTCAAAATTCTACCAGTACCACCTCACTCCACCAATTAAAATGTTATGGTATACTAGTTTAACAAAATATTTCTCACAATTAATTTAAATATGCTCTAATTTGTACATGTTTTTACTCTGTTCTATTTAACTTATTTGTATGTATATGACAGAGATGCAGATTATAAATGAGATTTCCTTTTTACTTGAAGCTCAAAGAGGTTAATTTTGAAAATTTGTTTCTATTATTTAAAGTGTTTTGTTTAAATAATACAAACATATCCTTTTTCATGAAAGATAGTCAAAATAAATTAAATTTAAAATTATATTTAGAACAAACAATATGACAAATGATTTATCTTAAAAAAGGAAGAAAGAAATATTTGTCTCCAATGAAAGGACAATCAGATAAAACATATATGCAATCTGAGATTTGCAAAGAGTAGTAAAAATTTACAAGAAATATAAGTTGACCAACATAACCTGCGAGCTAATAGAGCAAATATCTCCATGATAGCTATTTGTTAGAATGATAGCAGCAAAATTAAACACTTATATCCAGTGGAATGACTAACCTGAATATGTAAGACAGCTGAATAAGAACCAAAGTTGCTAAATGATTAGGCATTGACACATCGAAATCGGATTGTCTTGTTTCCCAGAACATAGTGCAAATATGGAGGATGCGCAGAATGCAGCAGCATACGTGTAAACTGCCTAAGTTTCAATGTGGATGAAATTTATATTCAATAAATATGTCCATAGACAGTTTAGATGCCATTAGAAATAAGTAAATGGAAGAAAATTGCCAAGAAAAAATAAATTTACTTTATTTTCTGATCTGGCCAGACCTGATCTCCTGGTCCTATCCATAAGTATCTGGTACTTTGTAAACCATGGTTCACTCTATGTAACAGGCAGGAACAGAGACTCTCCTGAAAGAAAATAAACACTCTTCCATGCTGATTCCTTAAATTTGTTAAAATTTTCTTCTCCTTTCATTTTCTGTACTGAAATTTCCATGAACTGTTCTAGGTATAAGCTGCATAGCCAATGTCTAGAGATCGAGAAAAACATTATATTCAGAATGAGAATGAGAATGAGATATTCCATATGTATAAATGAACAACTGCTAAAAGTGAATTAAACAAGAAATGAAACATCTGGAATCCATAAACCAAACAACATATGGATGCTAAGACAACCATTCTTTCTTTGATATGGACTATCCATCAGAATCAGATGCATGCTAAGGAAATATAGGCAAATGTAAAGAATAATAATCCTTGTAATTGATATAATGCTTATATATTCTTGTCATCAAATGTAAAATATTACAAGCTTTTCAGAAACTTGAAAAAGCAAAAAACGATTGTTTTATGTTATCAAAATATAAGTACATATGTGACCAAAAACTTTAAAGAGTTTGTCAAGTGCCTGACTAAAATAGTCAAACCACATTATTTGTTGGGGTAGATGCAAGAATTCTACCATATTAGACGCTAAGATGCATACCATTAAGTCTAGAATTGAATGCCAGTGTATGCATGGTACCATACACTGGATATAAGGGGGACATGGTGGAGCTAACAAATTAACTCAGCTGTACTCAAAGAATAGTAAAACATTCAACAAATAATTCATACAGTTTCTTTTTTTTTTGAACAAAGGTAACTATCTATTGATCAAAGCTGTGTTATAAACTGAGCAACGAGGGAATCAGCAGCAGAAAACATAAAGCTGGAAAGCTGGGATCTTGCAAAATTGGCCAAGGTGTGGCTTACACAATTATGAGCCCTGGGGACATGGTAAATACCTAGGACATGTAGTGAATAAAAAAGGAAGAAGCTATCTAGCAACATATTCCTCAAAAACCAGGGAATAGGATTGATTCCTTTTGCAATGTTCACTATCTCCAAGCAATCAGAGTAGATATCAATGCAGGGGAGTTGGAGAAACTGGAGTCCTTCCAAAAGGGGATTTGTTTCTGCCATCAAAGGGCTCGAAGCCTTGCTGCAGGTGTCTCCCAACCAAAGCTGCACAGGATCCTCCAACATTCCCTCAGGACTTGGGGCAGAATTTATATACTCATTAGTATAACAGCTTTTGCAGTGAGAATGGTAGCTGTGTTTGGCGTCATTTCGGTTAATCCAAAGAAACCAAAGTGCATAGGCAATGATGCCTGAGTAAGGCAGAATGAAAAGAGCAATCATTTCAGCATTTCGGTTGTTTATAGATTACAAATAGTCATTTCAACAAAATAAACTATAATACCGGCACTTAAAAAGAAAACTTTTAAGGTGCTCCGAATCACATACCTCCAAGAGGAACCTATCGAGGAACAACATCACGAAGAAGGGCAGCGCCACGAAGTCCCCGTACGCGGCGTACAACTCCAGCTCCCATCTCATCCACCGGAGAGCTTCCATCACATCCATCTGTCGCCTGATCACGGGGCGGAGAAGGTCCAAAGAGAAGCTTTGGGAGGCCGCCGGTGCCAATGGCCGGTCGAAATGCGAGCATTTTATATCAGTGTGTGATGGAAATGACATGCGATCGCAAGTGTTCATTATATTTTACCGGCGAATCGTCGCACCTACCTCCGACCGAAACAGGCGAACGCGGATCCTGGGAAGGATAAGTGTAGTTTTCTCATTATATCGCGGCCGTCCATGACCTTAATTTAAATGGAACAAACGGCTTCGATCGAGCGTCGAAAAATTTGGGATTAGATCCAGAGAAGATTTACGATGGACAAGCCGAAGTCAACCTTTCAGAAGTCAATTTCCCATTGACCCCATTCGTATGACCAATGGATTACGTGGAATCTGCCAATTGGACGGATTCGAAGATGAAACTACGTGGTTTTGATACAGCCCGCACCAAACGTTACAGAGACGGAGAACAGCAATTGGTTGGTAGCAATCCAATTCTGGTTCTACAACACCGTGAGATTTAACACTGGTACGATGAAACTGTTTTCAATCCATCAACCAGTTTGGATGAAACTGTTTCCTGTAGAGCTGCATGTGCAATTTGAGGGGGGAAATCCAAGAGCCACCTCCGTGTCTTCATCAGCAAAACGCTTCAGCTTGAGATGGAGTGGGCTTTGCAGCTGGTCACACTTGCTATTTGTAATCAGAATCAACATTTACATCTGGTAGAAGTAACACACAAAAAATTAACATAATTGAATAACATGAGAAACGAACAATCCGTATGTTTTAAAGATTCAGCAAAAAGATCGTTTTTTACTCTAATGGAAACCAACACAAGTCGCGGAAGAGCAAATGTGGGAAGCACCCTCAAAGATTCATAAAGAGTACTGGAACAACAAGTATCTGCTAAGGTTAAAGCCATAACAGTCATTTACAGGGTAGAAGTTTCCTCAATAAGTAAAAAGAAAGAACAGTATCTCTTGATCTGTTTGTGGTTAGTATTCAAACAGGTATGGGATGTAAAACATCAGTACAGATTGCAGTAAAAGAGACTACAAGTTTGCTGATCCATCATATTGTATGGCACCTGCAATACACTGTTACCTCGATCCAACGATTAATCTTGTCATGGCTTTCTTCCTGAAATCCATTCAAGCAGCATCTGGAAAGAGAATTTGGATATGAACTTGTCTGAAATCAATCAGGTGAACTCATTATCTGGTTAGATTTCTCATCCAGTGTTTCCTTAACCATTGTCTCTTTGGCAAATCACAATGGCAACAATCACATCCAACTCTATCAGCTCCAGAGTGATGCCAAAGCAATTAATGCATGCTAAACAGCTCCAATGGTCTAAAGTGCAATACCTGAAGTTGTAAATGATGGAGAAAACTGTCCTGGAATGTTCTTCACTGGAGTTCATCAAATACGCCAATGAAAATATTAAATGAATCTGAGAGGGGGATAAGAACCTGGCATCCGCATAAATTTAGATGCTGGCAAGGGTGGTTGCATCATATTAGACATCGGCATTGGTCTTCGTGGTGGCATTCTCATCGAAATGGTCTCTGTTCCCTTTACATCCACAACAACCAGGTCAGAGGTGAGAAAAGTCTTTGCAGTAGCAGCAGCATGCTCCAAACAGCATCTAACAACCTGCTCCAACAGGTGAAAGGGTCATGAATGTATCTCAAATTAAGAGGATACAACTTTGCAGGAATTTTCGACGTTTGATTCCCAGAAAGATAAAAATGAAGATTATAAAAAGGTCATTGCTTCAATTGTTCCAGATGAATGAAATATGAAATAGGATTATTCAATTTCTGAAGTTGAGAATAAATGGTGAACATCAGTAAGATTTTAAGCACAGTATATCTGCATTATTAATATATCTCTATAATGAATAAATTATTATTAGAAATCTTCGGCAGGTCTAAAGAACTTATATGGATCAAATTAAGTCAAAAGAATACATTAATCTATTGGAATGCTGCAACGATTGATATCTGCTATTCAAGGAAATGGTTTACAACCTTCTTTAACTCCTATAACATGGACAATTGGCACTTTTGTACCAGATATGGATGAACCCACAAAAAGATGATGCACTTGCAGTAATCAGAATATGTGATGTATAATACAGGCCCCATCTCATAAAGCACATAAATATATATTGCTTGTTCATACATTTTCATAATAAATGTGCAAGGATTTCAGGAGAAGGCTGACAAGAAAGTTGGCTAAGAAACAGATCTAGCTTTTCATCAACTTAATTGTGTAACCTTGATTGGATTTAAAAATAACAAAACAAATCTAGCTTTCATCGACTTAGTTATATTTTACCTTGGATGGATCTAAAATGCCAGCAGCTACCAAGTCCTCATAACAGTTCATAGCTGCATTATAGCCATATCTTATGTCATCATTAGACAACACCTATAAAAAACAGAAACTTGAATTATACTAGTAATACATGATTAAGTAGAGAATTCAAAATACTAGAATATGAGTTTGAGCTTTCATAGCATGACTTGGACACCTTGTTGACAATAACATCTCCATTTACGCCAGCATTTTTTGCTATCAGTTTTGCAGGGTAACTTAAGGCCCGTTTAAAGATATCAGCACCAATCTGCAGAAAATAGTCAAGGAATTACATAACAAGAAAATAATCTGACAAACAAGTCCTGTAAGATAACAGAAAAAATAATTTGGGAGATTTTCTTTTGCTTTTCTGATAAAAAAATTGTATTTAGGATTTAGTGCAGGCACTTGCCCTAGTATATGTCAGCACAGGTTGCATGTGCCACAACCATGGTAGATAATCATGTATTGTTTGCCAGTAAATCACTTGCAAGAAATGGACAAGGAAAGAATATGTGCAATACCTTCTGTTCTTCATTATCCAGATAATCTTTGATACCATCAACCATGGTAGATAACCTTAATAACGTACACCCACCACCAACTACAACACCTTCTTCAATAGCTGCCTGTAAAAGTGTAAATGCACCAATTAATTTGGAAGGAGCAGCAAGATCAGCAGGACCACTTAAAAAGATAAATACTCAGGGAGTACAGCGAAGGATAAAAAAGAATGAAATATCATCTATTCCTGGAGTGTTGGAGAACTATATTTCCAGGGAGAGCTAAGGTAGCCTTACTATATGAACTAATACAAATTCTCCGATGCTACTAAATAACCTGGAAGCTTTGGCTATGAGGATACAAGTTGGTGCTATATATCTACTATTTTATTATCAGTGTTGGATTATATTATGTCAAGTCTCTGGTAGGACTGACCTTTGTTGCATTTAGAGAATCTTCAATTCTCAGCTTTTTGTCTTTCAATTCAACCACTGTTTGTGCACCTACCTGTAGAAATATAGTTCAGCCTAGCACATTAAAACTTCAAATATATAGACAAACTGCATTGGTAGCAGAAGCTTCTAAAAACAGAAGTTTTAGGGCGTACATACCTGAATAATGGCAATACCACCACATAGCCTTGCTATCCTCTCATTCAGTATTTTCTTCTGGAACTTCTCTTCAGAGTACTAAATCAAAACATTGACATTAGATTGATAGAAAGACATATGGTTGTTGTTTTAATTAAAGAAATCAGCAAAAAGTTGGTAAAAGGATGAGTTGGATTAAGACTTATGCCAAAAGCTGACCAATACATAAATTCTACGAAAAGTAAACCTAATGAGCAAATCTGCAGATATAGTCATTTCAACAACTTTAGTACTTACCAGAATAAGGTTGATATTCAGCAATGGAATTTAAATATTAGACACAGAAAAGAAAGATTACTCCTTTAAAGAAACAGTGATGCTAGTAAACACATTAGAGCAAATTGTATCCATCTAGTCATGAAAGGCATCACTAAACAACTTTATCAAAAATGTCAGAAGAGACATTTTAGAATTTTTGCTGAAGTTTCTTTGACAGTGAAACAATGAATGTCAATTTCATGAGGGAAAAATATTATAGCATGATTGCTGAGTAAACTTCATTAGAGGGAACTGCTTCAGAATCAGAAAACCACCATTATTGGCTGAGTGATTGTTTGGTGTCATAGAAATTTAGACACAACACTCTCTTACTTCTGAATTAGCTACTACAACTTAAAATGGGTACAATTATCCAAGAATACCAGTCACCCTTGTCCACGAAGACCATCACAAGTCCACCTAGCTTCCAGATCAATAAAATTAATGATCTTCACGATAGTATATCACCACCTTTCTGAGAGAGAGAGAGAGAGAGTGATGCTGTTCAAGTTCCCGTTGACCTTAACTATTGATTGTCTACAAGCATATGTTTGAACCCTCCATCTGAAGCACCCTTTGTCTGGGTACAATACTCGCTAGCACTTGTAGCTCGTGATGTATTAAAAATTGTACAGAAACCATTTCCACAGAAGCTAGACTGCTTCGTTATTGCTTCAGAAATCCAGAACATTTCAGTCATTGTGTCTAATACTGAAGAAACAAACAGCGTTTGACACAGGGACAGGGTTCTCTATGGTATATACAAGATTGCTCCTAGAAAAAAACAACTATAGTAAGTTTTGAAAGGTTTCCATATAAAAAATCAACTGCCATAAAATAAAGTCGGTGGACTGAAAAGGAACTATAGATTAGGATGAATTTTATTTGAATGTCGTACTAGTGATGAAGAGAAAACATAGGCAAAGGCAAAAAACAGTAAGTTTTGCTGAAGTTTGAGCATAAGCAGTGACCGGGTAACAGTCTCTTGCAAACAACTGAAATTAATTGCATGGTGGATGCACCACTAGAACAAGTGTTTGTACCTGTTCAAGACTTCTTATCTGAGCAACCCGCTTTTCCACTGCATGCTGGGTGCTCCCATCAGTTACTATTAAAGTTGAATCCTTTCCTATTATCACCTTCACAGAAGAACCCAAAACCTCCTTGCCAACCGTGTCAAGAGTCAATCCCATATCATCTCTAATAACAGTACCTGCAAACCGATTATACGTTTCAATGTCAAAAGACAGCATAAGTCAAAGCAAAACAGAAAAAAAGGTGAGTGAGAGTTGCATAATAATCTAAATTTTAGCAAAAAGGCATTAGTTTTAGACTTTTAGTACATATTTATTACTCCTCATTTTTTTCATCAACCTACTACCTCCAGTCAAGACAGCAATGTCATTTAAGTAGTCAGTCTTTCGCTCTCCAAAGGAGGGAGCTTTGATAGCAGCTGCCTTCAGAACACCTTTGAGTTTATTTCTAATAACTGGGGCAAGAGCTTCTGGCTCAAAATCCTCTGCAACTATCAACAACGGAAAATTCTCTTTGACTGCACCATCCAATATTTTTAACATCTCCCTTGCATTGGTGATTTTTTTGTCAATCAAAAGTATCTGTATTCAGAACATGCAAATTACTTCACAGAGCAACATAGTAATTACGCTAGTGCTGCATTCCTTACCTTGCAGTTGTTGAACTCCACTAGCATATCTGCACGATTGGTAACAAAGTATGGTGACAAATAACCACGATCAAATTGCATGCCTTCAACAATTTGCAAGCCGTTCTCTGTGCTTCTTCCATCTTCAATTCTAACTACACCTTTCCTACCAACTCTTCTAACAGCTTCTGCAATCATACTTCCTACTGCATGGTCATTTCCAGCACTAACTGCTGCTACATTTGCAATTTCGTTGTCTTCAATCTGCAATCATCCTTCCTACTACATAGTTTAAGAATTCCATAGGAATACATCTAAGAATATACTCTTATGAGCACAATTGGTTGTATGTAGGAATAAATATACTCCTCACAAAGGTAAGGATAAATAACTTTAGAAATGAACTTCAATGATAAATCTGGTATTTTAAAAACACAATGTTTCGCTTAAGTACCGATCATACCTCCCTTGACATCAACTTGAGTTTGGAAACAAGAGCTTTAGCAGTTTTTTCAATTCCCCTTGCAACTTGTATAGGATTCATTCCAGCAGCTAGTACCTTAATCATAATATAACAATACCAGAAATAAAATAATAATAATAACATCACCATCAAGAAATTTTAGTTCTTAAAAAAAGTAGAATCCTTGTCTTGTTTGATAGGAAAAGGAAGATCATTAAGAACTTATATTAGTCTTCTTGAGAAAAGATTCCCTTGGTTCCATTTGGATACGGAAGACATAACAAAGCAATCCGTAAGAGTGAGCAATGATAAGACTTTCATAAAGAGTGAGAAAAAGATGAAAAGTGAAGAAGATGGAAGGAAACCATACTGAAAGCCCTGTCCTGGTAATTTGTTATTTGGTGACTAGAGCGAGAAAGGTGCAAAAAGTTTGAAAAGAGAGAGTGGGATGCTTAAAAAGAGCATGGACAGATTCATACATACCTTAACACCTTCAGAAATCAAACCCTGAGCAAGAATGATGGAAGTAGTGCATCCATCACCAGCAAGATCATTTGTTCTTGCACCGGCTTGTCTCACCAACTTGACACCCACATTCTCCAATGGGTCTTCCAATTCAACCTTGGGAAAACCCAAAAGAAAAATTATGCGAAGGTAAAGTTGTTCTGTAAAAAGATGAGTGAGAAAAATCAAATGTTTCAACTTAAATGTTTTCTTCCAACATCAAGTACAGAAACCCAAATCTTTTACGAAAAACATCATTGAAACTGTTTTTTTTAGTGCATGGTTGTGAAACTACAAGAAAAAATCGATGCAAGATAGTCTTTTAAATCAGTTATTTGCTCATTCCGAAGTATTTATTATAGGAGTCAGGCACATTGTTATCAGGAGACCTGCCTCAGTTCAAAAACTGCAGGAAAATGATGAGGATTCATAGCAAACTTAAGCCAACCAACCAAATCAAGAAGAAATGAAATAAAATCATTGATGGAAGTGCTAAATTATATTTCCTCGTTGTGGTAACACAACAAGCATGTAGTAATTTGAGAATATATCATTTTTCAGCTAGTGTTGGAGAAATTCTATTTCCTCGTTGTGGTAACACAACGAGCCTTCAGTAATTTGAGAAATATATAATTTTTCAGCTAGTGTTAGAGAAATTCTATTTCCTCTTTGTGGTAACACAACAAGCCCGCAGTAATTTGAGAAATATATAATTTTTGAGCTAGTGTTAGAGAAATTCTAATGGATTGCCCCCAAGCAAAACTGAAAACTAGAAATAAAATGAAGCCACATTAAGAACTCTACCATACAAAATCTTTTGGTCGACTGCCGAAATCATAAGAAGTAAATCCTAGAGTAAGAGCAAACGATACAGGATTTATCCTCCGTGGTACCTCTTTAAGAACAGTCTCCCCATCATTGACAATCCTAGGAGGGCCATACTTGTTACCCAGCACCACATTCCTTCCCTTGGGACCCAAAGTCACTCCAACCAAATTCGCCACCAAGTCCACTCCAGCCTGCATCAAATTGTTGTTCATCAAAACTGTAACTAAAAACAGATAAAAGAACCGGAAGAAGAGCTCGAGAGATTGGACCTGTAGCTTCTTGGTGGCAGAGAGGTCATGGTTGAAGTGCAGCTCTTTGGAGATGGGCCTGGGGGGAGGCCTCCTGGGTGAGAATGGCAGCTGGGGAGCAGCGAGAGGAGTGGGAGAAGTTGCTGCCATCGGTAGAACACTGCGCCGATGGCTGTACCTCGGAACCCACAGGGAAGCCGGAGGAGTGCAGGCAGGATAAGGGTATCCGTGTCCCAAACGAAAATGAAGAGATAGGAAATGGACCGTCGGAGATAATATGTTTCGAACAACCTTAGCAGCTCAATGTGGTAAGCTGACCGACTGACTATTTTACGTACCTTCTCAAGAAAATAACAGTTCACACGACCTTTTAATTTTGTAAATTTATTTATCTTCCACCGATAAAGATTTATTTTTTTTACTCACTTATTTATTTGTTACTTTAGTTATTAATGTCTCACGGGTTCGAGTACATGTATTTGCCGGGGATGCTGACGGCTTACGATCTTCTGCAATTAATAGAATGATCCGATTACGATCGGACCCAAAATGGTTTGATAGAAATTTTCTTTTATTAAATTGGTATTTTTAAAGTTATATCGGACCGTTCACATCCCAAAATTCTCAATTTATATCCGCTTTTTAAGGGTATGAAATTATGATTTTTTATTTTATTTTATCAAATTTAATTTTGAAACAAAAACTACTTGAATATTATAATAGAAGATTCTGTGAGGTTTTAAGGATACAAAAAAAGATTTTTGAATGAGGTTATATTGTTTTTTGGTCCAATAAAAAAAAATTAGTGTAAGTCATGTCTATTATTTTCCCAAAAAAATTAGAATTTTTAACGAGGTTAAAAATAATTATTTTAATAGTTTTTAAACTGAAATAATGATAGTTTATAAGTTATTTATAAGGTTTCCTGAAAAGTTTTTATTTTTTTTATTTTTTTGAATGAGGCTACGCTATTTTTATATAGTTCCAAAAATAGTGTAATTTAAGTTTTCAAAAATATTTTGTTGTCCCTAAAACCTAAAAAAAAATCTTATATAATAATATTCAAGTGGTTTTCCTCCCAAAATTATGGTAAATTCACCTTAAATTAGATAAAATAAAAAAGTCTAAATTTCACACTTTTAAAGCGTTAAAATGAATATTATATATATATATATATATATATTAATGACTTAAAAAGATAAAACTTGATCATTTGGATCTTTGTAAATAATTTTTAATATTTTCTGAAAATTTATGAATTTGGAAAAAGGAAATTTTGAGTTAGAATATTTTTGACTGGGATTATACTATTTTTGTATGAGACCCAAAAACAATGTAATCAAACTCAAAAATAGTATAAATCAAGTTTTTAAAACTTTTTTGTATCCTTAAAATCTCTAAAATCCTTCTCTAATAATAATCAAGTGGTTTTTTTTTCCAAAAGTTATGATAATTCACCTTAAATTGGGTAAAATAAAAAAAATCATAATTTCATACTTTAAAGAACTGAAATAAATTAAAAGAACCTATATTTTTTTATTTAAAAATAAAAAGATAATTCAGGCTTTTTTTAAATTTATTTTCAAGGTTTTCTGGAAATTTAAGAATTTTTTTTTGGAAAAGGTGAGATGTGAGTTGCACTATTTTTGTAGGACTTAAAAATAGTTTAGCTCAGGTTTTCAGAAACATTTTTGTATCCTTAAAATATCAGAAAGTTCTTGTATAGGATCCCAAAATAATGTGCTTCAGGTCTTCAAAAATAGCAAGATTTTATGAAACATTAAAAATGTCAAATGAAGTCATAATTGATTTTTTTTAAGAAATTAATAGATCTATTTTCGATTAATTCAACTCTTAAAATTTTGAAAATTTTATTTTTGATCAATTTAAGCTGAAATTATAATGTTGTAATTATGCCATTATTTTGTCTTATAATTTTGAGATTTAATTATTTTTTTATTAATATAAATAAAATATATAATAATTTTTATTAGATATTATTTATTTTAGATCGAATTATGATCCAATGCATTGGCTTGGTTCCATATAATGAGTTTGAATTGGGAGAAAGGGAGGAAGAAAAAAAAAAGTGGTCAATGGTACCTTTATCCTTTTTTTTTTTTAATTACGGCTCAAAAATAAAATAAAAATAAAATATGGATACTGTTGTGGTAAAATGTAGGGTATTTGGATTTTGATCAAGAAATTATTAAGAGTCTGATGATGGAATGACTTGACTAACATCTTCCAGTGAATTAAATAGTAAAATTAAATAGTAAATCATACATAAATAAGAGAAAAAAATTCATTGATCTCTGAATTCAATTAGTTAGAGATTTAGGACTCTATTTATAGAACCTAGAAATATCTCAAAGATCAACAGATGCTGTACCTTTGTTTAAATATTTGGAAGAAGGTTCTACAAATTAATTTGTCATTGTCCGAGCCGTGAATCCGATGTTTGTGCATAAATCTATCTCTCTGTTTTGCCTTTCTCGTTGTCTCTAGCGGGCCTTCGATTTGTTTCGTCGGGCAAGCATCGTCGCTGCGAATCTCCTCCACCTCCTCCTTTGGATCGTCGGCTGTTTCAAAAGAGGGAACAGGAATAAGAGAGGTTAGAATCTGATCTTTTCTACTAACCGGATGTTTCATTGATTGGATAGGGTTTGGATCAGAATCGTGTCCCAAATCTTTGGTTCATCTCTCGTTTTCGGACGAATTTTGTTTTTCATTTGTGCACATGTTCTCAAGTTTCTTCTTTAATTAGTCTATCGGCGATCAATCACCTATACCTCGATGGCCATACACGTAGAAAAAGAAAAAGTCACCTACTTTTGTATTTGTGCGTCTTCTAAGATTACTCTCGGTTGTCTTCGATATGTTTTACAGAAGGAAGAGAAGCTGCATTTTGTGTGAATAGGAGCGCTCAACGATGTTCTATTCTAATGGTCAATGATTTCTTATTTCTTGCTCGATGTTGAAGGATCCTCTAGGGTAATTAGGCATTAGAACATTCTTTCAGTAGAATTTCTGGGTCAGGTAGAATTGCAGACGTGAGATCGTAAGAAGCTTTAATATGGATGTTCATAATTGACTTAATAATGTGGCGAAAAGGTTACCTTTGTGGGGGTAGGCACCTGGATGCTTGTGCTTCGAGGTTGATGCGAATACATTGATGACATGTAGGGAAGGAATGGGCATCTTCCATGTCTTCCTAAACTAAATTAGGCATGTTGTATGTTTTAAGCTAAAGTTTTTTTCTAAAAAAAAAATTAATGTTGTTCTGGTTAAATTGCTTATTCCTCTTGTTTTGTTTCTAAGGTATTGGTTTGCTAATCCTACATGGCTTTGGGGATCAGCAGGTATCTGTTTTTGCCTCTCATCAGTGACCTAATACTCTATTTAGATTTGCTAAGGTACAAGTAGCAAAATTTGTTGGCTCCTTTCAAGTTAACATATTTCTCAGTTTGATGAGAATTTTTTACTCAAGAAAGTTAGCTTCTTGGAGCTTGTAATTTATCTTGAAGCAGGGGATGCACTTTGAGGTTGTAACTAATGCTGCATTAAGGTATTATTACGATGATAATTAATTTCGTTTGCTAAATAAATTCATGACGATGATGTGGATAATGCAAAAAAGCTGATAGATTTATCAATCTCGACGGAGACAAATGCTAAACCGATGTAGAATAAGTATAATTACTCTATAGATATTTTAAATAGGTTTTAGGATGTAGGTATCAAGTTAGCAACTTATCTTCTCGTCTAATGGGGCCTTCTTCTATAACAGGTGCTTTGGAGTCTACAGCTCCTTGTTGTGTCCGCTTGCTCTTCTAATTATCAGTCTACTTTGTGGTTCAGTTGTCTGGGCAGTTCTCTGGACACAGTGTTGTTCGCTTATTATACTCATGTGACCAACAAGATTTTGCTCTCAACTAGACCGAAAAAACAATATTATTTTGGTGAAATGGGGTTTGAATTGAGAAATGTTTCAGGAGGAACAATAAAACTATCTGGCTGGTCATGATTTTAATAGCAGCTCTTTAGGTGCTCGCTGTAGGAGTATCATCAAGAATATATCATGTGAAATAAAACGGTGACCTCAGGAAGAAATAAGAGAAGCAGTAGATTTGAGGATTTTTTGCTATTGTTGACAGAATGCTTACAGAAGCAGGACTGCGTTGAATATGGTTCTTAGTTCATTCATGGGAAACAAACTGGTCGCAACATTTTTAAGCCTTTTAATATTATTATCTTGTTTTACATGAACTAATCTATATGAATGAGCATTGTTTTATGTGCTGAGTAACTTCTAGCAGGTAAATGTAGAATGTTGTTGGCGGGACAGGGGAAAGTCTATGATGTAAAAGTTGGTGCGATAATGTTTTATACAGAGAGATCGTATATTCTTGAATTTTTACAGATCCGTAAGAGATGATAGAAGGAAATCAAGCATTTTTTTCTCTAGCAAATCTCCTGGTTGAAGGAGAATAGGAGAAGGTAACCCAAATAAACTTTAGTATATGAACCATTAGTTCTCTCCTATTTATAGAAGTCCTCTATTAACTTAATCATAATAGATTCTGCTTAAGCCTCTTAGATTAGTGGATCTGTATCCAATAATCTTTCATTGGCTCTTGTTGGATCTCATTCATAGGATCCAATAAGATAGGGGGCTTCAGCGGATATCTCATATCCGAACCTCTACTCATCGCAACGACTACCATATGTGCGTAACTCTCTAGGCCCAATATCGAGTTAGCCATGAGTCATACATGTCAGAACTCCTTCTAGCTCGGTGAATTATTATCTCTATAATAATTTACTCGACTCATCGACTATGGACATACTAGGTCATTACGCTACAGTCCCCAAATGATACAAGGGAATTCAATCCATTGGACATGTATGTTCTTAGTTACCGTATACCTATAGTCTCTCATCCATCTAATATCTCAAAGATTGTATACCAGGTATAGTGTTGTTAGACCCATATAATTTCTACTCGAGTCTCTTTCTAATCGGATTCTTCCGGAGAACTCTTTCTCCCTCAATCTAAATGATCATGACCAGAGATTTGTCTGAGCAAAAACACACGTGATATTCCTCTCATGACACCAAGAGTGGATGATCCTCTATCGAAACTCAATAGCCCTTATAAGGTTGGCTACCACTCCCGATGATTGGCTGTGGTAGATTTGGAACCTTCAGACCTATAAATCTGGTATCAAAAAGTAAAGTACTCATACAGGATATCCTTGGTGTCTCAAGTTTAAGAACCATATATACCACTGGGACTATGGAATCGCTGTTTGATAATAAGGCATTATCAATCATCCAACATTCCGTAACCGGATCAATTAGTGAACTTATTTTTTAATAAGCACCTGTACTGTATCTCTAGTTTTTTCACACGAGTAGCTTTGAGACCAGCTGCATCCATCATATGGATGAGTATACAACACACCAGTCTGTTCGATTATCTCGATGTCCCTCTCGAGTAACCTATGACCGGGATTATTTAAGATCTGTGTTTAAAGGCGAATTGATCTCATTATCGTGATCTCATCATGAACTTATTTCCATTACATAGATCCATGAATATCATAATATATTCAAGTAACAAGCAATATAAAGTAATAAAATGTCAAGTAATAATAATAAGTAAAAAGATTATGTATCAAGTCACATGTGACATCACTCATGTGATTGGCTTGCAAAACACATGTGACTAGCAATCTTCCACTTGACATAAAGTCAATCACCTATGTGTCTAATCCCCATCAGACCCTTGTGACGGTCAAAGACAACATGAGACAACAGCTTTGTTAGTAGATCTGCGATGTTATCTTCATATGGAACTCTTTCTACTACTACATTTCCTCGGGTCATGATCTTTCTGATCAGGTGGAACCTCCTCAGAACACTTCTGATGAGACATAAGTTCCCTCGTTTGAGCAATCGCCCCGTTGTTATCGCAATATAAGAGAATTGGCTCCTCATTGCCTAGCATTACTCCCGGATCTGTGATGAACTTCTTCATCCAGACTCCCTCCTTTGCTACCTTTGCTGCAACAATGTACTCTACCTCTGTGGTCGAGTTAGTAATAGTATCTTTCTTGGAACTCTTCCAGCATACTGCTCCTCCATTCAGGGTGTATATATACCCCGAATTCGACTTACTATCATCGACATCGGACTAGAAACTTAAGTTTGTGTAGCCTTCAACTCTAAGGCTACTACCTCCATATACTAGTAAAAGATCCTTATTCCTTCTCAAGTACTTAAGGATACTCTTTATTGTTTTCCAGTGCTCTGATCCGCTTGATACTTGCTCGTGACACTCAGAGCATGCTCTATATCAGGCCTGGTATATAGCATGACATACATGATAGACCATATCCTTGAGGCATAGGATATTTTATCAATGTTCGCCCTTTCTTTAGGAGTCTTTAGGGACATACTCCTAGAAAGCGATATCTTATGTCTTATCGGTATGAGACCTTTCTTGGAATTTTTAATGCCAAATCTTTTGACAATTGTATCTATGTACTTGGATTGAGATAAACCAAGCATCTTTTGGATCTATCTCTATAGATCTGAATCCCCAAGATATATGATGCTTCCCCTAAGTCCTTCATGGAGAAGTGTCTAGATAACCAAGTCTTTACTATGGATATCATTCATACATCATTCTCACGATCAAGATATCATCCACATATAACACTAAGAGGGTGATAGTACTCTCACTTACCTTTCTGTACACATAAGGCTTATCTTCGTTCTTAACAAAGTCATAAGATCTGATTATCTCATCAAATCTTATGTTCCAACTTCGGAAAGCTTGCTTTAGTTCATAAATGGATCTAAGCAACCTACACACCTTATATGGATGGTCCTTAGACACGAATCCATCATGTTGTATCATATACACCTCCTCCTCGAGGTTGCTATTGAGGAATGCGATTTTTATGTCCATATGTTAGATCTTATAATCATAGTGTGCTGCAATAGCCAATAGAATTCAGATAGATTTTAGCATGGCTACGGGTGAGAAGGTTTCGTCATAGTCATCACCTTGTCTTTGACGATATCCCTTAGCCACTAGCCTTGCTTTATAGATCTCTACTTTTCCATCTACTGTGATCTTTTCTTGAAGATCCACTTGCAACCAATGGGTATAATACCCTTGGGTGCATCAACTAGGTTCTAAACCTTATTAGAGTACATGGAATCCATCTCAGAATTCATGGCTTCTTGCCACTTCTCGAGAGTCTATACTCGTAATAGCCTCCTCGTAGGTCTAATGATCAATATCCTCAGCATCATCTTTTCTAATATATCCCACATATCTCTCAAGAGGATGGGATACTCTGTCGGACCTACGTAAAGTCAAAACTTGTGTGCTAAGTGCTTGAATAGACTCGGGCTATGGAGTGGTGCTTGAGCTAGGTTCTCCAACCTCACTCAACTCTATCATGCTCCCATTGTCTCCGCCAAGAATGTGTTCCTTCTCAAGGAATATTGTTCTCTTGGCTACAAAGACATTTTGGTCCTCGGGATGATAGAAATAATATCCACAGACTTCCTTGGGGTATCCCACGAACTTGCATCGCTCTATCCTTAATTCCAACTTATCGGGGTTGTGTCTTTCAATGTGGGTAGGGCAGCCCCAAATATTAATAACCTTAAGATCAAGTTTTTTCTCTTTTCATATCTTATATGGTATAGACACTACCGACTTAGTTGGAACTCTGTTTAAAAGGTAAGCTGCGGTCTCTTGGGCGTATCCCCAGAATAAGATGGGTAGGTCAACGAAACTCATCATAAACCGCACCATGTCTAACAGTTTATGATTCCTCCTTTTAAATACACCATTGAGTTGAGGTGTATAAGGAGGTGTCCATTGTGATAGAATCTCATGGTCCTTAAGGAATTGGGTGAACTTTGTACTCATGTACTCACCTCCTTGATCTGATCGAAAAGTCTTGATACTCTTTCCAATCTGGTTCTCCACTTCATTTTTATACTCTTTGAATTTCTCAAAGGCCTCGAACTTGTACTTCATCAAATACACATGTCCATACCTTAAGAAATCATCAGTAAAAGTAATAAAGTAGGAGTAATCACCTATGATATGAGTTGACATGGGTCCACATATATCACTATATATGAGTTCCAATAGCTCGATGGCTCTCTCTCCAATTCCACTAAAAGGAGAGTTGGTCAATTTTCCACGAAGGTAAGGCTCGCAAGTTGTATATGACTCATAGTCGAATGGATCTAGATATCTATCCTTTAGCAACTTTTGGGTTATTCCCTCGTAGATGTGACCTAGTCTATAATATCACGGGTATGCACTTTTCACATCATCTTGTTTCCTCTTAGACATACTTACATTCATGATATATGGAGCAATGTCTAGCATAAACAAGTCATTATACAATGTTCCTCTCGTGATGATCTCATCATCTAATAATATTGAACAACCATTATTCTCAAAAACTAATTTATATCCACTAGCTATCAAACATGAAATGAAAATAATGTTTTTGTTAATAGAAGGAACAAAATAGCATGTATCCAATGCAATAATAGCTCCACCAAGCATATGTAGAGTGACATCGCCAACAGCTACTACAACAATTTTTACTTCATTGCCCATCTTGAGGTCTATCTCGTATCTCACCAATCTCCTAGGTCTTGCCAGAACCTGCAACGAATTGCAAATATGATAAGCACTATCGGTATCGAATACCCATGTGTTATCATAAGAGTTTGACAAATGAAGACTGATCATAAATGTACTTGGAGCTTCTTCAAGCTTCTGTTTCACTCTCTCTGCAAGGTACTCTTTACAATTTTTCTTCTAGTGCCCATCTTTGCCGTAGTGGAAGCATTGGCCTTTGTTCTTTGCTGGGTCTTTCTTAGCAACCTTTGTTTTACCTGGTCTGCCCTTGCCCTTGCCCTTCTTAAGGGACTTTTTTACTTTCCTTTTCTTTCTGGTCTCACCAGTATAGAGAACTAGATTCTCTTTCTTGATAGTGCTCTCTGCCTCCCTCAACATATTGAGGAGTTCAAGGAGAGTCACCTCAAGCTTGCTCATATTAAAATTTATTATGAACTGTGAAAAGGAATATGGTAGGGACTGAAACACAAAATCCACACACAAGTTATCCTTTATGACCATTCCTAAACCTATGAGTTTCTCTATCCACTCAATCATCTTTAGGACATGGTTTTGAACTGATGTCTCCTCCATCATCCTAGTACGGAAGAGACTCTTGAATCTCTCATATCGTTGAGTCCTTCCTTGTTCCTCAAACTATTTGCAGACAAATAGGAGAATGGATCTGACATCCATCTTTTCATGTTATCTCTGTAACTTAGGAGTCATGGAGCCCAACATGTAATACTGAGCAAGAGTGGAGTCATCTATGTACTTCACGTAGCGAGCAATCTCATCCTCGCTTGCCCCTTTCTCGGGTGTAGACATCACTGCATCAAGGATGTACGCTATTTTCTCCACCGTGAGAACAATTCTCAAGTTGCGAAGTCAATCTGTATAATTCGAACTAGTGAGACAGTTGACATCAAGTATATCATGTAAGAGATTTGAAAGCAACGTTTTTTGAAAATAAAGATTAGTAAAAATAAATAATATGTAGATTTTATAAAAATAAACAAATAAGATATGAACTTCTATCTTAATCTACTCCCACTATTTTACTAGCAAGTCATGCGACACCCTCAGCACGTGAAACGGAAGTCTTTGGTAGACTTCTAGTGGGGATCGAGATCCAATCAACGTTTTAGTGTAACCTCAAGGGACTTGACCACAACTTCTTGTGATTTCCATCCTATTCGACCTCCGAACCACCATGGTGTCGAGGGACTCAACTAACCATGTTATTCGGTTAAATTAACACCATCATTACAAGATGAGTCTAATTCGATGATATACCCTCGAGGGACTTGACCAAGCATACAATATCCTCATATCACCGATGACATCTTTATATCGTAGGCAAGATAACGAATCACAATATAGGTGAGCCTCGCGGGACTCGACCAACTCAACATACTTCGAGAATCGGTCCCTACCTATAACGTTAGAAGGCCACGTGGGTCAATCTAATTACCTCACGTTTACCGACTTAATATTATATATATACATATATATATATATATATATATATATATATATATATATATATATATATATATATATATTATGTGTACAACCAATCACACATCACATGAGCAATCACACTAGATGATCATGG